CCTTGTGCTGCACGTGCAGCTTCTCAGCACCTCGCTGTATCAGCACTGAAATCTGTGCTCCCCTATTTATTACAAATGTCAGCAATTGCCATGGAGGACAGACTGGAAGCAAAGGACGTGGACCGTCCTCGCTCGTCTGTGGACCATAAACCATAAACCTCCCCTTGCCACACAGGCAGACCCAATTGGCTGCTGGTCATTACTTTTTTTTTTACTTCATTTTTTCCTTCCTGCTTTTAGGGGAACTTTGAGATCACAGCCTGAAGCAGTGATGGAGCACCTGGTGAGGGGTGCAGCCCTGCCTGCACAGGTGGAAGCAATGCAGCCGTGGGGCAGATGGGGCTGAGCCTGGCTCCACCCCTCCCTCATATCATCTTAAGGGCTGGCAGCCCCACAGGCAGGGTTTCTTCCTGGAGATGCCTCCTGTGGATTGCTGGGTGAGCTCTGGTTCGTGGGAAGAGGTCAGCGATTCTTTCTTGATGGCTGTTGGGGTTTTGGTCTCTGCCTTTCTGTGGGGATTGTAAGCTGGTTTACAGTAGCTCTGTCAGCTCTGCTTCTGATGCCTTCCACTTGTTCTCTGAGGGCAGTCAAGGGGTTCTCTGCCTTTTTCTGAACTGGTAACGGAGGGACTGATGGACGTTCCTTTCTTTTGCTCTCATCTGTTTTGGGAATGCTTCTGTCAGCCCCAAGGTGACGCTGGTTGGGTGACTGAGCGTTGCGACTCCAGAAATGCCTGGAGCTGATGCACTGTTCTGTAAAGGGATTCTGTGTTCTGCAGAGTTCCTCTGCAACTCTTTCTAAGCTCAACACCTTCTTGTGACGTCTCTGTTCCCTCTTTCGTGATTCTCATTGTGGGATCTCCAACCTGGGCCTCCAAACTCACTCCGTCTGCTCCCACGTTGCCGCAGCCCATTTTATGACACGTTCCCTCTGTGTCCTCGCGTCCTCCCTGTGTCCTCTGCCCGTGTCCCCTCTGCGCCTCCTGTGCCACGCATTCATTCCACCTGTGCTGAGTGTTGTTTGAGGGCACGCATTTCAATTCCGTTCCGCGTCTCGTTGGATCTCCTTCTGTTTTGCGGCTCAATGGGGTCGAAGGGTTTCTGGGGCTCCTCTGGTTGGTGGTTCCAGCGCTGTGCAATCTGTGAGGCGGACGCTGGAACGGCAGGAACCCCTTGTTTACACATCGCTTGTATGCGGGTGGGTTTTGGGCCGGCTGTGGGCAGCTCCCTTGGAGATGCAATGGGGGTTGGTCCCCAGGGCTCGCCCTGCTCCCTGCCCTTTGTCCTTGCAGCCCCATGAGCTCCGTGGCTGGCGATAGAGCGAGGTGCGTGGTTGCGGCTGGGAGCTGAGCTGCAGGAAACCCCCGGGCCCCAGCGGCCGTTTGCTTCATCCTCACCCAGCGCCGTCCGCTCTGCGCTGCTCGAGAATACTGAGCACAAGGATTCAGTTCCTGGTTGGCCTGGTTCTCTCCCAGATCTCCCTTAGGAATTGGTTGGCAGCAAAGGTGTCAGGGCTCGGCTCTGCGAGCGCCTTGTGGCCGACCCCCCCAGGCTCTCAGGGCTCTTTCAGTCGTGCTGGCAGATGTGGCTTTGTATTGATAGGAAACAAAGGGCCGTCCTCTGCTGGAGCGCTGTGCCTGGATCACCGCAGATATCTCCATTCCAGCCGTCAGGGGATGCTGTCAGTTTCCCAGTCTGGACGCCACCCAACCTCCCCAGCCCTCTTCCTTCCATCCCTGCCCCCCTGCAGCCGTGGCACCCAGCAGTGCGATGCAGCAATTCCTCTGGTGTGCTGAATGCTGGGGCCGGCACTGAGAGGCTCTGTGGCCGACGTGGATCTTCCTGGTTGGACTGCTTGGTGAGTTTCCCTGGTGCTGTTGAGCACGCAGGCTTCCCCGCCTGCCCTGATTGCTCACCAGGCCATCGATGTCCTTTGTGCCGTCGTGCCTCACTGCTTCAGGTATCATGCCATAGACTCCTTAGAGTCAGAAGGGACTGTTTGTGATGATCTAGTGCGACTCCCCACAAGGAACAGGGACATCCACAGCTCGATCGGGCTGCCCAGGGCCTGATCCCGCCTCACCTTGGAAGGGACAGGGCATCCACCGCCTCTCTGGGCAGCCTGTTCCACTGCCCAGAATCACAGAATGTCCCGGGTTGGAAGGGACCTCGAGGCCCACGAGTCTCCAGCCCCCCGCCAACGCAGGGCCACCAACCTCCCTGTTTCACAGCAGCCCAGGCTGCCCAGGGCCCCATCCAACCTGGCCTTGAACACCTCCAGGGATGGACGGGGCATCACAGCCTCTCTGGGCAGCTGTTCCAGCACCTCACCGCTCTCACAGCACAGAACTTCCCCCTGACATCCAACCTCAATCTCCCCTCCATCAATTTAAAACCATTTCCCTTTGTCCCTTGCTGTAAAAAGACATTTTCCTTACATCTAACCTAAGTTTTCCCTTCTTCTTTCCTTTAGCTCCCTTTAGGTATCGAAAGGCTGTTACCAGGTCACCTCGGAGCCTTCGCTTCTCCGGGCTGAACAGCCCCAGCTCTCTCAGCCTGTCTTTGGAGGAGAGCTGTTTGATCCCTTGGTTCTGTTTTGTTTTGTGGCCATCCTCTGATGTGATCCAACAGGTCCATGTCTCTTCTGCACTGAGGACTCTACATCCCGACACAATCTCTAGATGTGGGATTGTGCAGAATATGGACTCAGGTAAGGGAAGCCTCTTGACTTCACAGGTCCTACAGGAGCTGATGAGAACTTTAGAAATAGAGTGGGAGCTCCATACTCTGTGGCATCCTCCTTCTTCAGGGAAATTAGAATGAATCAATCAGATGCTGAAGAAGCACTTGTCAAAATTGGTTTCAGAGACCAAATTACCATGGACAAAGTGTTTGCCTGTAGCCCTTGTCAGAACACGAACCACTCACAGAAAAGGCTTAGGAGTATCACCACACGAAGTGCTGTCTGGGTGGCCGTACTTGGGAATGGTGAGATGCCCGCTCTTGAAACCAAGGGTAAGTTTCTCCAGAACTGTGTACTCGGGTTGTCTGCTGCTCTGTTATTCCTTAAGGGATGTGGGCCGTTGGCTCAAACTCCACCTCTGGAATTTCCAGTGCGCTCATCCCGTGTTGGAGACTGGTCCTAATACGCGCCTGGCAGAAATCAAGGCTTCAGCCTGAGTGGGAGGGACTATTTCAGGTACTGCAGTGGATGTCGCCTACCTTGACTTCAGCAATGTTTTGTTTCGGTCTCCTGTGACATCCTGGTAATGAAGCTGAGAAAGTGTGGGATAGAGGAGTGGATGATGAGGTGGGCTGAGAACAGGTTTACTGGCTGAGCTCAGTGGTGGTGATCGGCGGCGCAGAGTGCGGCTGGAGAGCTGTGAGCGGCGGTGCTCCCGGGGGTTGGTGCTGGGTCTGGTTGTGAAAGGTAGATTGTGTTTGTGCTGTAGAAGCTTTGAGTATTTTCTGTATGTAGTACTGGCTTTACTGAACTTACAGCCCTCTTGTGGAAGAGCTGTTTGCCTTCTACTAAGAAAGTTGCTGAGCAGAGTTAAAAAGTTAAAGATTCGGGGTGTTCTGATTGGAATTGAGCCAGGCACAAAATAAGGCAAATATGCAGGGTGGAGAGAGAGAGGGAGCTCGGCACAGGACAGAACAAATGTGCTCACTCTTGGAAATATGGCCCTCGTATCTCCATAGAGAAGTACAAAACATATCAAAAAGAGCAGGTTGGTAATGGACCTTATATGGAACTACATCATAGCAACAGCGTCGGGGAGATTGTGAGCCTAGAGCTCAACCAGTGAGTGCCAGGAGAGCATTGCCTGCGTCGGGTTCAGAGTACAGAACAGAATGAATTTCTCTGACCGATGTGCAATTTTTCCCTTATTAACAGGGAGCGTGTGCCTGTTATTGCAATAACGAATAAACTTTGCTGCTATCACTAAGATCCTTGCCTAAGCTGAAACTGGTGACTTTGAGTGTTTCTCTCAAGGTCTTGTTCAATATCTTTGTCAATGACCTTGATGAGGGGATATGTTCACCCTTAGCAAGTGCACTGATGAGACAAAGCTGGGAGAGAAGTGGTTGGCACGCTGAAAGGCTGTGCTGCCATTCAGCAAGATCTGGACAGGATGGAGAGCTGGGCAGAAACAAACCAGGTGAGGTGGAACAAAAGCAAGTGTAGAGTCTTGCACCTGGGAAGGAATAACTGCAAATATCAGTAAGCTTAGGATGTGACCGGCTGGAGAGGAGCTCTGCAGAGAAGGACCTGGGGGTGCTGGTGGACGACAGATTGGCCGTGAGCCAGCAGTGTGTCCTGCTGGCCAAGAAGACCAATGGCATCCTGGGGCGCTTTAAAAGGAGCGCGGCCAGCTGAGCAAGGGAGGTGATCCCCGCTCTCTGCTCTGCCCTGGTCAGGCCTCACCTGCAGTACTGCATGCAGTTCTGGGCTCCCTTCCTGGTACAGAAATGACAAGGATCTCCTGGAGAGAGTCCAACAGAAGGCCAGGAAGATGATAAAAGGCTTGGAGCATCTCCTCGGTATGGAAAGGCTGGGGGACCTGGGTCTGTTCAGCCTTGAGGAAAGAAGACTGAGAGCAGATCTGATTAATGCTTACGTATTTGTTAAGTGTGGGAGTCCAAAGGACACGGCCAACCTCTTGTCAGCGATCTGTGGGGACAGGAGAAGGGGAAATGGCTACAAACTGGAGCACAGGAAGTTCTGCACCAAAATGCAAAGGATCTTCACAGCAAGGGGGATGGAGCGCTGGAACAGGCTGCCCAGGGAGGCTGTGGCTTCTCCTTGTCTGGAGATATTCCAGACCCTCCTGGACGCCCACCTGCGCGGCCCGCTGTAGGGAGCCCGTTTTGCAGGGACTTTAGACTCAATGATCACTGGGGGTCCCCTGCAACCCCAATTCTGTGGTTCTGTAATTTTAATCTTTGCTTCTTGCAGCAATGCAGTGTTTCAGAAGGGAGAAAAGCACGGCAGGCATCAACTGGATTTCTGTGGTTGGTAAAGCTGTGCTGAGAAGTGGGCTGACACTTGGACCTGGAAATGTGTCTGCAGACTCTGCACCCAGAGGAATGACTTTTCCCTGCAGGTTGGGCTTGTCTAAGGTAGGTCACTGCTAGGTGAGCTTCTGCTTTAAAACATCAAGTTGTATAAATGAGGAAATCTTAAAATCAAGATTGCCAATTCTTTTTTACCTAGGTGATTTTTTCACAAGGAAAGATTTGAAATGCTGTTTGCTAATGGAAGATGGAGAGAGGAAAATCAAGTCAAAGGCACGCTGTGCACAGCCAGCACATAGCATCTGCACCGCTCTCCCCCTGCACGAAGGAGGAGCAACTCAGCAAGCTTGGCCTGGGCCATGGAAGGGAGCATACAAACATCTGGACCAACCCCAACGAAGCTCCTTCTGCAGGTTGGTTGTCTTCCGCTGTGTGTCTGCCATCCTGTTGCTCTGGGGTAGATTTGTTCAGGTTCAGCTCATGGAGTTGAGGTCTGAGTTTAAGTCTGTGGGCATCGTCCAGGAATTGGGGTAGGGTACGAGGCAAGGAAAACTGGGGTAAGAGGATGAGGCTTAGGACCAGGAACCTCTTCCATCACTATTAGCTCTTGCTGTTCTTTTTTTGCGTAGGAATCCATGTGGGTTTTTTAATGAAGAACAAACTCGTGCAGCTTGTGAGTGAATTCATTCACGCATGTTAATCGTTGTTCTTCTCTACGTGGAGCTGCAATTGCAATGGATGCTTGTGGTCTGACGTGCAGCCCCCTCTGATGTGCTCAGATGAGCCAAGTTTGCAAGGCCTGGCTCTCGGTTGGTGAGTTGTGCCCAAGGTCAGAGAGGTGACTCTTGTCAGCTTTGAGATGCATCTTCCAGTTGCATGCTGTGTTCTTCCTGTTGCGTTGAGCTCTTGAGCTCCAGCCCTAAGTGAGGATGCAAGCGCTACCGCAGAAGGGATGGTTGAGATTGGAAGTGCAGTGCAAAGGGCTGGAGCCAGCAGGAGCAGGGATGTGATCATCCCCTGTACTCAGCTCTGGTGAGTCCTCACCTTGAGTGCTGTGCTCAGTTCTGGGTCCCTGACTACATGAAAGACATTGGAACCCTGAAATGTGTCCAGGGAAGAGCAGTGAAGCTGTGAGGAGTGTAGAGCACAAGTGTTATGGGGAGGCAGCTGAGGGAATGGGGATGATTTAGTCTGGGGAAGAGGAGGCTCAGGGCAGACCTTATCCCTCTCTACAGTTAGCTGAAGAGAGGTCATGTCGAGGTAGGGCTCATCCTCTTCTCCCATGTAAGCAGCGATAGGACTGGGGGGAACGGCCTCAAGTTGCACGAGGGGAGATTGAGGCTGGATGTTAAGAAACACTTCTCCACAGGAGTGGTCCGACGCTGGAACGGGCTGCCCAGGTTGGTGATAGAGTTACTGTCCCTGCAGGTGTTCAAGAAACATTAGATGTTGTCCTGAGGGACATAAGGGGCTTAGTGGGAAATGGTGGTGGCAGGTGGACAGTTGGACTGGATGATCTTGGAGATCTTTTCCAACCTTGCTAATTTTATGATTCCATGAAAGGCATCTGCTGGTGAGAGCTTTGGTGGGTGAGCATCAGGCTGCTGGACAGTAGGCAGCTGTTGTCTGTGCAGACAGCCACATCCACGGAGAGTGGAGTCTTTTTAACCTTAACCTTGTCTTTCGTGTCTCATGTGCAGTAAGGCATGTTGTTATAAAGCACCATCGTAGGGGCAACCTTGGTTTGTGCAGCCACCAGAGCTCTCCCCCATGCTTCTCCCTGTGATGTGTGGCCGTATCGAAGGCCTCGCAGAAGCCTGGGTTGGTGAAGTCAGTTGCTCTTCCTTTCCCCCCCCGATGCTGGAAATAGCAGGGAACGGGACTGGGGGACATCCCAGCAGTGGGTTCCTCTCAGCAGAACCGAATGGCCGTTCTGGTGCATGTATTTGGAGTGAATCTGACGCCAGTTAGAGAAATGAGGGGCCTGTGGACAAAAAGAATGTGCCAAGTTTTGCAGTGTAAGATGTTCTCTGAGCTGCTGCTAACAGTGCCCAGCATGCTTCCTTTTCGATGGGGAGAGGTTTAGCAAGGATTTTTTAGATGAAAATAGTTAATCCCGTATTTCCTTTTCATTGACCTTTATTTCATCTAGTTCTTGAAAAGTTACCTTTGGACTCCACAATACTATGTATTACTGAAGAGAATACACGTGCACCCCATGCTTTTCATCTGTGCAAAGAATCTTGTAAACGTCTGTGTGTGTGTTTCTTCTTGGCGCTGAGATGAAGCTGTGTGGAACATAGGCTTGGATATCTTTTCAATCAGATGCAGGGACGTGTAATGCTCATCTTAGATGTCGGGGTGACAAGAAGAGCAGAGAGGTAAATTTTAAAGGGTTGCATGCTATTTTTTTTTTATTTTAATTATTAATTTTTTTACAGTCATAACCATGGAACCACAGAAGCGTTACCCAGACAGAAGGAGCCTTTGTCACCTGGACTTCCTACCAGTGACACAGGCAGTGGAAGTCAGCATCCCAAGCATCCATGAAACCCCTGCACAGGACTGGTGAGAGTTACCCTGGCGCCGTCCTTTGGCAATCTCAGGTCTCTGTCAGCTCCCACGTTGTGTCGTAACTCCTCCCGTGGTGCTGACTCAGCTCTCCCAGTCTTTTGTGGGGGAGAGCTGGAGTTGAACTCCTTCCTGCTTCCTGCCTCTGTCCTCCCTGCTTTGCCCATGGCCCACTGAGCCTCCATCCTTGTTAGGTGTCTTGAATTACTGAGTTGCTTAAGGATTGGGTGGACCAAATAAGGTCTTAGCGATGTCTCTAGATCCACGTGTGCACAAAAGCACACTCTGATGCAGTCAGTGTAATGATGAATACATGCCTTGTTTCCTTTAGCCCGTATTTTTAGTTCAGGAGAACAGATTTCTGGAATGATGTTCAGCTTGGCACCAGAATCCCCTTGCTGCCCCCCATTGCGGTCACTCACGAGGGCTTGAGATCCACAGGGAGGAAGTGTTGCTGATAATTACAATCCATGGTTTTAAAACTGATTTAATCTATGGTGGATGATATGAATAGTTGTGGTGAATGATGTGGTGAGGCATCCCAGCAATTTTCAACAGGAATACTTCAAGGCAGCTTTTCAAGGTTTCTTTGAGCATTTTCCAAGTCTCCAGGAATGTTAAGCGCCAAGGTTTCTTAGCCTTCCGAATGGCAGTGTTTCTATCTAAGCTGGCAGCCTTTAAACCTAAACCCAAAACGAAGATTGCTCATCTCAGTGGAGGTACCTTAGCTATATTCTAACGCTGCGTGCAAAATGAGTTTCACGTTCACTTGTCCTTTCTGACTCGCTACGTGTTTCATTGCACAGGAAGAAAAGCTTGATGTCTGTGCCAAGGGAGACGTACACCGCACTTGCGCTGCCTGGACGATGTGGAAACTGGAAATTGTGGGGTGTGCTGAAGCATGCCCTCTCAGGTCAGTCTAAGCATACACAGAGTAGACCTGTCTAGCAAAACAGGGAATAGACAGTTAAACCCATTCTGTTGGGAAATACTCTCTCCTTCTAAGTACCTTTAGAACGTGAGTTTCTTCAATTAATTACTCAACTCATTTGCTTTTCCTGAATGATCCTAAGTTCTTTTCTCAGGCGACATCTGCACTCTGCTCAGTCCAAGGAGAATCCCTGCCCGCAGATGCAATGACACAGCATGGCTCACCACCTCATTTTTCATTGCTTACTGTTATGGTAGCTGCCATCCATGTCCAGGCTGCATGTTCTTAGAGCTCTTCTGGAGTCCATGGGGCAGACTTATGGTTGAACTAAAGGGAATTTTTTTATAATGCTCTAGCTCCAGATGATTATCCCTAGTATCATTGTATTAAAAAAAAAAAAAGGCGTTTTGAAGTAGTGCGATATATCTTCTGTGCCTCAGAATGTGGCACGTGTGGCATGAGAGAGTTGTGAGGCCACGAGGACTGCCCAGACAGCATGAGAACTGTAAGAGCAGAGAGCTATAGGTGATGCAGCGCTATTGGTGCCACCCGCAGGAAGCGGTAGCTGGAACAAAATATGGCCAGAAGAGTGATCAGATTGCGTTTGGTAAGGAACTATTTCATTAGTTGTAGAACTTTGACAAAATGTATATTCAGGATGATGATCAGCATGCCAGGTGCTGGGACCATGCCGAAAGAGAAATGGTCTGAAAACGTCGGTGCCATTTGCAATATATCCCCTTCCACAAAGCCCTCAGATCCATGCTGCAACTGCATCCAAAGCAACCCAGAGCCCTGTGCTTGTTGTACCCGGAGCTGTCGGTGCCAGGAGTTGCTGCTGTGTTAGCAAGGACGTTGTGTCAGCAGTGTGCCGTCAGTGGGGTTGTTTGATGGCAATGAAACCGCTGAATGGTGTACCTCAAGACTGAGAAAGAAGATGGTAGTGGTGACTGTGTGTCTGGGTATAGATAGCTTGATACAGATCGATAGGACTGCAGTGTGGATTGTACATAGGCCCTGCGCTGCGAGGTACGCTGTTGGGAAGCAATGTCCATCTGCCCGAGGGCAGGAAGGCCCTGCAGAGGGACGGCCTGAGGCCAGCCGTACGAGGCTGCACAGGAGCAAGCGCTGGGTCCTGCGCTGTGGTCATGACAACCGCATGGCAGCTTGTGCAGGATTGGGCTGAGGTAGAATTCCAAGGGCCCACTGATTCTAGAATGTTGGGTGCGGTGTTGGCATCTTCTGGTCCTGTGACATGGTCTTGCCTCCCCACCCTGTCGTCATGGCGGAGCAGCCTGGTGGCCCTTAGTGATGTCACAAGAGGCTGGAATGAGGGGAGGAGCAGTGCGTGCTGCGTCCCTTCATTGGAGCGCTTGAGCTCTGCGTGAGTAGCTCGCTTGTTGCCCTTGTGCAGCGACTGAGTGCCTTCGGTTTCACCCCTTGTGTCTTGTGCAGCATCTTGTAGGTAAGCTGAGACAGCGTGGGATGGACGGGTGGGCAGTGAGCTGTTGGAAACTGCTGGCTGGTGGAGCTCCTAGCAGCTCGTACTGCTTACTCTTGTCCATCAGACGTAACTTTCAGCCAGTACCTGCATTCCCAAGCGATCCACAAAGATGGCATTTGTCCCGTGGCTTTTCCCTTGTCATCTTTGCTGCATTGTGCAAGCTCACAGACCTGTTCCTTCTCTCTCCTCTATCCGCTCCCTTGGTGCAGCTTTTGCTCGTGGAAGCACAGAGCAAAGTGACAAGAAACAGCTGCGAGTTCAAGGAATTGTCTACCTTGTTCTGATCTCCTGCCAGGTACGTGCCACGCTTTGTCCCCCCACGTGGTTGACCAGCAGTGTGTCGCACCATGTTTGGTAACACAGCCTCACCCAGCGTTGATGGGACACTGGTCCTGTGTGGGTTTTTTCCCTTCCCCTGCAGCTCCGCCCTCAGGAGGATGCTGTGTGTGGTGCTGTGACCAGCTGGTCTGAAGGAAAGCAATCCCTTAGGCAAAGAGTCCTAGGCCCAGTTTGTGCTGAGCTGCACAGCGTGACCCAAGGTCACAAGCACGCACGCTTGGCCTGTGAGAGTGTGCGCGGCAGCTGTAGGGAGCAGAGCAGAGATGCGAGCAGAGGAAATCCTTGATGTGCGGGGCTGCAGCAGGTGCCGGTGGTGAGGCTGCTGGGAGCCGTGGCCGGGGAGCAGATGCACCTGCAGCAATGATTCCTCTCACTGCCCTGCTGCTGCGCTGTCAGAGCGCCCTGGGCGAATGCATCTGCTGCTTTGTGCCAGTCCCCATCTGCTAGCAGAGGGACAGCCGCTTGGTCAAATGCTGCCTAATGGGCTGTCCCATTTGAACGGAGTGAACAGAGTGGTTGCTTCTAGAGCACCCGCCTGTGCCAGCGGATAGCCAAGGGTAGTTCTGAAGAAGTCTCTCAATAGTGTGGTGTGTGAAGAGAGAAAATATGAGCGTGTTTCTTTTCATTCCAGCTTGTCGTGCCTGCTGTGATGGGCATCGCGTGCAGCGAGATCAGCTGTGAGCCTGGCATGACACGGATGGAGGTAGAGTGTGGAGCTCTGATTGGTCTTTGTTCCCTGACT